ATGACGGAAAGGTGGGTGACAGACCGGGGTGTGGGGACCCCACCGAGCCCCCTGAGCAGGCAGAAACCTCCACGGCTCCCTCCTCAGGTGCGGCTCCTGAACCACGTGACCTGGAAGATGACCACAGAGTTCGGGCACCCCGCGGCCGTTAGCAACCCCAAGACAGTGAGTCCAGAGCGTGCTCTGCTGCATCTCGGGTGGGCAGATGGGAGCTGACCCTGCACTCCATGCTGGCCTCGTGGTGTCACTCTCCCGGTGCCTGTGCCACCCCACCCTTTGCCCATGAGACATTAGGATATCTCGGTGCCACCTCCCCCTCTTCCTGTTTTTGGTTTTTTGAGATAGAGTCTTGTGACAGCTCTGTCTGGCCTTGGACTCACTGTGTAGCTCAGGATGGCCTCAAACTCACAGAGATCCTCCTACCTCAGCCTCCCAAGTGCTGGGGTACCAGGCCTGCACTATGTGCCCAGTTCATATATCTCATCATGTCCTTCGCAGGCTCTTCCCTTGTCCTCAGCCGCAGCCAGATGTCACACACTCTGTCCTGATGCACAGCCCTATGTAAAAAGCCAGGAGACCAGGCCCTGTCTCAAAACACTGAGCGTCTGCCCTGGGCTTCGGCCAGAGAAGCGGGGACGGGACGGCCAGGGAAGGGCTGGGGAGCCAGGTGTCTCCAGGCTCCAGCGAGGCGGCCCAGGCCAGGGAAGCACGGGTTCTGAGGCGCACATGGCCGCGCTGCAGCAGGGTTCACCCGCATGTGCCTGCTGGGTGTCAGGGACAGGATGGCAGGGCGGAGCGCCCATGGTCAGCTGGGCCGGGCTGCGCACACGGACCTCCAGAGCTGATGCTCCATGCAGACGGGGAGGAGGCATCACAGGCGCAGGTGTCGCGGGGCGGGGCCGACAGCATGGGCCTGGCATGGGCCTGGCTGTGGCTTCTGGGCTCTGCCTGCAGCCTCACACCTTCCGCATATGAGCCAGGCGGCTGGAGGAGAGAGCCCGGGCACAGGCGTCATGGCTGTGACAGACGCCTGACGCGCACCTGGAGGAGGGAGGGGCCGCTGGGCTCCCGTCCTTGGCCTCCTGCCTGTGGTGGGCGAGAGCAGGTGCCGGGGAGCAGAAGAGGAGGGCCGGCTGCCACTGGCCCCCGGGATGCTCCCCGGGACCTCCCTGTGCCCACGCTGCCCACACTTCCCCGTGGCTGGCCTCTGGCGTGGCACTGCTTGCTCATCCCTTGTCACAGCTGAGGCACAGACGGAGGCCCTGGCCATGCTCAGGAGCAGGGCAGCTCGCAGGGGACCGGGAGATCTGGGTTGTCCCTGCCCGTGTGGCCCAGTACTCCAGCGCTCGGGCTTCCTGGCCATGTCCTCTACCCCTTCGTCCCTGTCATGGGTCACAAGCCAGCAGGTGGCCGCCCTGTCTTTCAGGTTGTGTACAGGGAAGCGGAGAAGAGCCCGCCGCCGGGGCTGGGCCACCTGTCCTTCCCGCCGTCCCGAGCAGGCACCCGCCCCCTCGCCGCCTTAGAGAGCAAATGTAAGCTGCAGCCCCTGGAGTGCGATCCTGGCTTCTTCCCGTCTTTTCTTGTCCTTCTCCAGCCCCGGGCTGCAGTGGCCCAGTGAATTTCCGTTTTCCCCTGTGCATCCACTTGCGTTTCCTGGCTGCCTCGTGCCAGTGCGCCCCACCCGGCAGCCTGGAGGCGCTTGGCCGGGCCCCTGGCTGATTGCCCAGGCACGCTGAGCCGGCGTTGGCGCTGGCCTCTGGGGCGCATTTCTAAAGGAAGAGCCGAGTCCCAAAGTGAGCCACAGGGACCGAACTCAGAGCGAGGAGCTGGGTGCATCACAGTCTCCACGCCGTGGGGCAAGCAACCTGTGCCTGCTTCCCTGTCCCCGCGGGGCACAGGGCGGGCATCTGCCCCACAGGGGCATGGGGACCTCAGCAGGGATGTGGGGGGACAGCAGCCGCCCTTGTGGGTGGGAGGATGAGAGGGCGCCCGGCCCTGTGGAGTCGCCTGCTTGTCACTGCCTCGCCATCCTTGGCTCCACCCAAGAAAAGGAGACCTGAATGCGGAGGGGACAAGTGCTGGGGGGTCTGGGGGGCTGCCGAGGCTGGGTGCAGCCCCGCCTGCCTGTGCCCTCCCAGCCAGCCTGGCACCACGGGGCTGCTCCGCTGTAAGGGGCTGGGAAGCCTGAGCGCCGTCCCCGCCTGAGCCGCCACTGCTGTTCCAGATGAGATTGCCTCTGTGCCCGTCTCCCTGCAAACCCTGAAGCCCGCTGCTGACCGGGCCAACCCCAGGATGGGCGTAGGGATGCTGGCCTTCAGTCACGACAGCTACTTCCTGGCGACGAGGAATGGTCAGTACCAGGGCCGCTGGCGCTGCCCTCTCTCTGGGCCATGTGGGCCTTGTAGGGAGCCGGTGGAGGTGGCCCATGAGGCTGTGCTGCCACGGGAGCTCGGAGGAAGTCGGCTTCCTCCCTTCCGCTCCTCCCCCTTCCTCAGGAAGGAGCAGGGCCAGGCACAGATCTGCGCTGGGTCCTTTTTGTCTTACACTGTTCCACAGCCCTTTCCAAACATAGCAGCAGAGGAAGCGTGGTCCGGGTCCCGGGCCCCCCTACTGCTCCCTCCTGCGCGGCTCTCAGGGCTTGGGCTGGCCAGGCCGGCAGAGCAGCGGTGACGGGTCTCCCCCTCCCGCCTAGACAATGTCCCCAATGCGGTCTGGGTCTGGGACATTCAGAAGCTGAGGCTCTTCGTGGTCCTCGAGCAGCTGGCCCCCGTGCGTTCCTTCCAGTGGGACCCGCAGCAGCCGCGGCTGGCCATCTGCACGGCAGGCAGCAAGGTCTACCTGTGGTCACCGGCAGGCTGCATGTCAGTGCAGGTGCCTGGGGAAGGTGAGCACAACTGCCCGGTGGACGTGATGTCTCCAGGGGCCGAAACCCACATGAAACCATCAGGGAAGCCCGGGGCCCGCCTGGCAGCACGCCCTGCCCCCAACTTTGCGGGGTGACTGGGGGCTTTTGGCTTACCTGGCTGGACCCCTGGATCACCAGGTCCTCTGCTCACCTTGTCACAGGGGGCTGCCCTCCCAGGGTGGCCCCGTACCCTAACGCTCTGGCCACCTCTCTCCAGGTGACTTTCCTGTGCTTTCTCTTTGCTGGCATTCAAGTGGGGACTCCCTGGCCCTCCTCAGCAAGGATCACTTCTGCCTCTGTTTCCTGGAGCCCGCCGAGGGCAGGGCAGCCTTAGGACAGCAGGACAGTCGCACGTAGGATGGGGCGGGGAGGGACCGGGCACCACACCAGGCACAACCCCACCACAGAGAGGACGTCTGTACCCACCCTGGGGCAGGCTCAACGATTCTATTTTTCTATAGCAAGACAGTTTTGTAAATATGTATGGTAAAAAGCTGTAATTTTCATTACTTAAAATAAACTTTTGCTGATTCATAAAATGCTTTTTTTTTTTTTCCTGGTACCAAGAATCAAACTCAGGACCTTGTGCTTGCTAGGCAGGCGACTGTGTCACTGAGCTGCATCCCTGGCCCCCTAAGATGGTTTTCAGGTCTGAACTTACTGGCTGGCCTCAGGGACCCAAAATGACAGAAGCCACCTCCCCGCTGAGGGTTACCCTGTCATTGGACATTCATAAAAGGTGGCAGCTTTCCCTGGGGCATGCTGGTGTCACAGTCCAGGGTCACTTTGGGGTACAGGAAGGGAGCTCCAGGACCCTCAGGCAGACCCCAATGAAATGAAAAGTGCCATCCCAGCCCGGGGGGGGCGGGGTTCTGTAGGAGCGCCCACCTGGCTGTGTGGGGAAGCCACCAGCCGCAGGATGCCTGAAGGACAGGCAGGCTGGAGCAGCAGGGTGAAGCCAGGACCACACACTCCCGCCAGCTGTGTTCCTGGGACTGCAGACAAGGGAATGGCTGCAAAACTCCTTGGGCCGCAGGACGGCTGCTCCCACGGTCACCATGCCTTTCAGTGACAACTCCAGAAAAGGAACATTCTTTTGGTTCTAAACATCTTTACTATAAGACAGAGCACAGGCTGAAGCCGGGGTGCTTCAGGGGCAGCCTGCTGACGCGGGGAGGCTGAGGCGTCCTGGTCACATCCACGCTAGGCAGCTTAAAGCTACAACAATTGTAAATGAAGAGAAACCGACGAGCCACCATTTAAAGTCTACCGCAAGTGCTGCAGTCACACAAGCAGGCTGCGCACGGCAAGGGGGCATGCGGGAGCTCACGCAGCTAGATTCCTGGGGCTGTGGGGACCACAGCCGGGGCCAGTCACTTCAGGGGGTCTTGTGTGGCGCTTCTTTAAAGTGTATTCTTTAAAAAGCAAGCTACCCAATTCCCTTTTAAACAGGAATAGAATTATACAAACTTAGAGTACAGGCAACTGTCAAAATTGTGTGCAAAGAGTATCAGGGTGACTTCCTGAAGCTGGAAACTTGTGCGAATGCCTCTCTGCAAACCCTCTGGGCCTGGGAGTGACATCTAGATACTGACAACTTGGACTGATTCTACGAAAACAGGACTTGAGGTCAGACGTTTTTACAGGAGAGCTGTTCACGAAGGCTCACAAGGCAGACCGCATCTTGCCCCCGACCAGTCTGCTGGCTGCTCGTGTGTGCAGCTAAGAAAAACGGATTAAGTTTCAAAATATAGTTTGACACAGAATGTAAACATACGCACACGTGTGGTGTGGCAACACCAGGCTCCTGCCCGAATCCAGCTGTCCACGGAGCAGGCAGACGCGGTCTGCAGGCCCAGCATGCTGATGGGTGGGCAGGGACCAGGAGCCACACGGGTACAACAGAGGCAAACGGGGGGGGGGGGGGGGGGGGGTGGCACTGGCGGTAAAGTCTTCCTGCTTCTGTCTGTCGCCCGCGTCCTCAGGGGTGCAGATCCTATTTTTATTTTATTTTGGTCTTTTTTTTTTTTTTTTGAGACAGGGTCTCGCTATGCAGTTCAGGCTGGCTTTGAGCTCACTTTGTAGCCCAGGCTGGTCTTGAACTTGCAACAATCCTCCTGTCTCAGCCTCCCAAGTGCTGGGATTACAGGCGTGCGCCACCACGCCCGGCTAGGGGTCTAGATAGTAACACATGTGATTCACTCGGCTGCCCCAGCTCCCTGGCCCTGCCCCAAGGCCGAGTGTGCCGGGCACAGCCACCTAGAAACCTATTTTGCCCCGGGTCATGGAGTAGCCCAGCTTGGCCTCGTTGTTGATGAAGGACATCAGCCCCACGTAGGTCTCAATGAGGAGGGGGCGCTCCAAGACCAGCACACCAGTCGCCTGTCCTGGCAAAGGGTTTTCCTTCTGGGCTTTTTTGACGGCTTGGATCAACAGCGCCTTGAAGCTTTCCAGCTGGCAAGAGAGAACGTGGAGCTTTAGTCTGTGGGTAAGGAAAAGGCAATCCGCTACACAGGAAAAGCAGCACTCTGAGACGTTTAAATCCCTCCCAGGTCCACGTATGGCCGCATGTCACCTAACGACAGGGCCGTGCGCTGAGAGGCGTGTCACTGGGCGCTTCTGTCCTTGTGTGCACACCAGCGTACGCGTGCACACTCCCAGATGCTGGGCCCACCAGACACGCAGTGAGCGGCGAGGCTGCGGCCGGTGCGACGCGCTAACGACTCTGAGTGTCCCCAGGAGCCACGCAGTCTGCAGCCCCCACACGGGCTACGCGCTCCTGTGGTAGCAGAGGGGCACTGAGGAATGCGCTGTGTGACATCACGGTGCCTAGGACACCACGAGGTGACGGGAACTGCCAGGCTCTACTATCTGTGGCAGTGGTGGCGCGAGTGTACCGTGTTTGTAAGATAAAAGATGTTAACAGAGTTGTTTTTTCTAAACTAAAACCCCAACGCTCAGGCTTAACTGCAGTGTTGGCGCTTTGCGATAAGTAAGTGGGTTCTGGGTTGCAGTTTGGCGCCTGGTCTACGGGGTTCACCATCGCCGTCCTACGGGAACAGCGCACTGCACGAAAAGTCACCACGTGGCACGTGACCGCATCCTGCTGATCCCGAGGTCCTTCTGTCACGGACGCCTCTGCCACACTGTGGCGTCCCTGGGCACAGGTCCTTGAGGAGCTCTCTGGGTAGACGCACTGGCATCTCACCCCAGCACACACCTGTGACGAGGTCCGCCAGCACGCCAGAGCCCTTTCTGTCCACAGGACCACGTGTTTCTGCCACACTTGCCTGCCCACTCCCCACCTGAACCCCCAGGTTAGCAGACCCCCACCACGCTCTGGGCTGTGCTCCAAGCTGGCCTCAAAGCCAGGCCAATGTAGACCGGGCCCCTCAGCCCGGCCAGGGCCACTGCTGCCCCCTGCAGCCTGCCTGGGCTCTTCTCCCAGAGGTCCAAGCCCCAAAGACTGTTACAGAGCTCCACGGACCGGCAGCTGCTAGCCAGCGTTACAAGCTCACTTCTGCACTGTCACTCGTCCGCCTCGGGCTGCTCAGCCACACGTGGTTGCCCTTCTGGGCCGTGCACACCGGGACCCTCCATCCCCACTGGCACGCGATGGTGCCATACTGCCCAGGACGGCTTACGTGGCACAGAGTCGCTGTCTTCTCATCCACACCGGCCATCGGGTGCTCGATGAAAGTGGAGTAGGGCACGTTTGTGGACCAGGGATTCCATCTGTTTATGAAGGAGGGACGGCTCTGCTTGTCCCACTGGATGCGAATCCCACAGCCTTCTCGCCTGGTGAGTAAGAAAGCCTCGTGAACACGGCAGACACAGCAGGGAGGCTGGGGCTGTCCCAGCAGCTCCGTGTGCACAGCCAAGACCTGGGACCTTGGCCAGTGGGTAATGGCTTCTGCTTTCCGGGGTGACTATGGTCCCCACCAGTAACTGCTCTAAATACCATCCATCAATTTGAGGCAAGGAGTGGGGAATATAGCTCAGCGGCTTAAGTGCTTGCCCGGCAAGCCTGAGGTCTTGAGTTCAATTCCCGGTACAAAAAAAAAAACCAACCATTTGAGACAAGGTCTCACTTGTGGTCCAGGCTGGCTTGGAACTTACTATGGAGCCCAGGCTGGTCTTGAACTCCTAATTCTCCTGCCTCAGCCTTTACGAGTGCTGGGATCACTTCTAAGTACTTTTAAAAATGACAAATACATTGTCTTGGTTACCCTAAACTTCACCTTCACATCCCTATCAAAACTAATGAGACTATACTGCTGACAGTCTAGTCAGATGATTTACGTTTTCATCTTATTAACCATCCTATTAAATGCTGGTCAAAAAAAAAAAAAAATGCTGGTCAAAATGTACACTCGTGAGTGTGGTTTGATCCTGAATGTGTCCTGAACTCACATGCCGAAGGCCTGGTCCTGGCTGCTGGCACTAGTGACAGGTGCTGGCACCTGCAGGCAGGGCCTTATGGAGGGCAATTGGATCACGTGGGGTTCATCCTTCATGAGATGAGGGGACCTGAGTCCTCTCTCTCTCTTTGCTCGGCATACACCATGCCACAATGTTCTGCCTCCCTAAAGACCCAAAGCAACAAACCATGGACTTAAACCTCAAAACCATGAGTCCAAATACGCCTTCTCCTCCTCCTCCATTGATCTCAGGTATTTTATTGTAGGGATGGAAAGCAAACACACATTTTCTATCCAAACCTCTATATCAGACCTCTGAAATTTACCATGTGACTATTACGCATGTCTAAAATTCTCACGTTTCAAAAAATTCTTTTAAATCAAGATGATCAAACACCTGTGTGGTGGCAGTCTATAATCCCAGCACTCAGGAGGCTGTGGGAGGAGGATCGCTGCGAGTCTGACACCAGCCTGGGCTACAGTGAGCCACTGTCTCAAAAATAAAGAGGCTCTCTGCCTCATGCACTACGCCGTGAGATACTTCCTTGTATGCCCCTCCGCAGCGCCATCGTGCCTTGACCTGGCAGACTACGGGCTGAAACCACACACCGTGAGCCAGAAGAAACCTTTACACTGTGGGTGTCCTGCACCGTGTCTCACTGACGAGGAAGTAACCGAGGCAGATTTTGGTGATGGAGAAGTTGGGCCATTGCTATGGAGGAGTTTAGAAAGGTCTGGAGATGCTGGCTGGAGAAGCAGCCCGAGCATGCTGTAGGCTGCACTGGATGAGCACGTCTGACCTGAGCTCAGAAGACAGAATGCTGATAGAAAAGCAGACAGAAAACACCAGGCTCAGGAGTTCTCAGGTGGGAACAAGGGCTCCATGGGAAGCTGCACTTCAGACCATGTACGTAATGTACTGGTGAAAAATTCATCTACATTTTGTTCATGAGACTTCACAGGAGGCTAAGAGCAGCTGACAAATCTGGCAGAGGAAATATTGAAACTATGGCATGGAGATTGTTGGGGGTGTCTGATGAGATTTATGTTGAGAATCAAAGGGCTGGGGATTTAGCTCAGCAGCACAGCGTCTGCCTGGGAAGCGCGAGGTCGTGAGTTCAATTCCCAGTACCAGAAAGAAAGAAAAAAAAAAGAGAATCAAGAAAAAACAGAACAGTTGAATGATTTAGTTTTAGTGTGGCAAGAAAGGACACTCCAGTAAAGCTGGGGCCTATAAAGATGGAACTGACAGTTTGGGGGATAAAAACATTAGCACTAAAAAGAAGCCAAGCCAGATGTGGTGGCACATGCCTGTAATCCCAGCACTTGGGAGGATGAGGCAGGAGGATCCCTGCAAGTTCGAGACCAGCCTGCGCTACAAAGTGCGCTCAAGACCAGCCTGAACTGCATAGTGAGACGCTGTCTTAAAAAGACACAAAAAAAAAAAAGTAAAAAGAAGTTAAGTACTTTGGATTTGGAAATCACAAAAGATCCCTTGAGGAATGGGAGGAATTCTGAAAAACCCACCTTTTACAGAGTCAAAGGTGGAAAACTGAAAGGCTATGTTTGAGAAGAGAGCCCAGGACAGCAAGGTCCAGAAAGCAGCAGTCTAAGGGAATGGGATCCATCCCCTGGGATTCAGTGTGCTTTGCTCAGCCATCCAGGCTCTTGGAGGCCTCTGCAACCAGTCAGGATACAAAGGGGCCCAGCTACTGCTCCACGTGGCAGCAGACCCTGGCATCATTCACACTGCTCATTCATACATGCATGCAGAGTGCAAGGGTTGTGGGCCAGAGAGACTTCCACTCAGCTACCAGAAGGTCTGGGAGGCCAGGCAGTGTGCCCGAGAGGGCAGTGTGTGAAGCTGTGAGTGTGAAGCCAAAAGTACAGTGGAGATGCCAGCAAGGTGGAGAAGCCAGGAATGTGGGACATCTGAGGAAAGCTGCAGACAGCAAGAAAAACCAGCCCAAGAGAGAAGCTGTGGGGGCCACAAGCACCAGCAATGCCACAGAGGCGGGCTGTCCAAACTGTTCGGAGTTCACATCTTGCCACAGAATGCCTCGGTGCAAGACATGAAACTGCGGGGTTTAATGTTCGCCCCGCTTGATTTCAGTCTTGCTTTGGTCCTGTTCCTTTCTCTCCCCACCATTTCTCCCTTGTGCAATGGGAATATTTACTGTGTGCCTCTAAATGTCAGGAGTGTTTAACTCTTTTTTTAATTTTACAGGAGCGAACAGTAAAGAGTTTGCTTTAAAACTCAAAAGAGATTTTGGACTTGGAACCATAATGGTGGAACTGCCAGGACTTTGGCAATTCTTACAGATGGACCAAATGCATTTTGCATAAAGAGATGTCCATGTGTCTTTTGGGGTAAGGAACAGAATGAAATGGTTTTTATGCAGACACACCTTCCAAGCCTCATGCGATCCCTGGGGCTTTTAGGAAGTGGCTGGGTCATGACAGTGTGAGGGCCCTCAATGGACGGGGGCTCGGGTGAGTTCACAGCTAAAGATGATGGTTGGAAATGAGAACTGGTGGGAGGAGGTGGGTCTGGGGTGGGCCTGGAGGGGTGTACTTCCCTGGCTTCTCCTCTGACCCTTCTGCTTAGTGCAGCATGCAGGAAGAGGCATCTTCCTCTGCCACGCCCTGCTAGTTTGCTGTCCTGCTTTAGAGCCAACGGACTATGGACCGAAAGCCCTGTAAACTGGGAGCCAAAATAAACCTTTCCTCAAAAACCCACAAATCAATTTTTGAAAGCTGACCATTATTTTCAAATGTACCTGACCTTTAGTGATATCCACAAATTACACAAGTGCCCTACCGTTTTGTCTCAAGAATAAACCAGAAAAGACCGAAGGAGGCTGAGGCCTTGTGACCCTTTCTGGGCTGGAGATTTAACGCCCTTATCAGCGGAATATCCAGTTTGCCTCGAACACTCTGGCTCCACCTCAAGGTATCTGAAACCCACGTGAACCCTTCTGCCTGCTGCCTTCATAGCTGTCTTTTGTGCCAGATCAGTGAGTGCCATTCCCTGGCAGGCAGCCACTCCCTTCTATTTTAAGAAGTGATCACTTTCCTCATCTCTGAAGCTAAAGGTCCTTCACTTACCCATGGGGCAGGCTCAAGACCATCACCAGGGGACTGAGCTGAAAGGGCTGGAAAATAAGACCCGCCGGGACCGGATTTTCGGAACGCACGTACTTGTTGAGGGACTTCGGGGGAAACTGGAACTCTCCGTAGGAGATCGTGTCCACCGCGCTGAGCGCCACCCTGACCACCTGCTGGCACTGGAGGCTGATGAAGTCGTATTTGCAGATGAGCAGGGACTGGTCGGTCACCAACACCAGCCGCTCCTTCTCGTTGTTCCAGTGGTCCACCCTGCGAGGGCGGACACTCACTGCAGGCTACCGCGCGGCACCTCGGACCCGCCCTCAGGAAGGATAAGCGGCCGCCCGGGGTGTGCCCCTCGGAGTCCCCGGACGGCAGGCTTACTCGGTCAGCAGCCACACCCCCTGGATCTCGCCGTCCTCCACGGGCCGCACCACCGCGCGGATCTCCTCCACCGCCTGCTCGATGGTGCCGGGCTGGGGGTGGCCGGGGCTGAGGTCACTCTCGCGGGCCCCCAGTCCCGGCCAGTCCCATGCCCTCTCCACCCCGCCCCGGCCCGCCCGGCCCTGTGCGTCCAATTCGGCCCGATCCTCACCCGGAACACGAAGTACTCTTTGACGCGGGCGCGGCGCGTGGGGTCGTGGACGCTGAGCGGCCACAGCGTCTGGCGCAGCGGCGTGCCCGCCCCTCCTCCTGCCCGGCCGCCGGCCGCGCCGCACACCGCCACCTCCTCGCCGGCCGCCAGCAGCGCCGTAGGGCTCGTGCCCGCCGAGTCCACCGAGTCCCGCAGCTGCAGCATCGCCGAACCAGGCCCGGACCGACCCGGACGCAGCCGCCGTCGCGCCGCAGCCCCTTGCTCTCTGCCCGGCCCCGCCCTCCTGTGACCCGCCGCGATTGGATGAGCCCCTCCCGTCCCGCCCCCCAGGAACCCTCCCGCCTGTCCATCGCCCCTCAGGATTGGCTATTTCCCGACCGTCATCTATGATTGGTTCTGTCCGCTGCCTTTCACAATCGCTCCCGCCCCTTCGCCCTGACGGAAGCGCTCTCTGAGCAGCCCACTTCCTGTTTACGTGTTTAGAAAGGGGGCGGGGTCGAGTCGTTGCCAGGGAGATTCGGAGCAGCAAGGGAATGGGAAAGGTCACTGCGTGCCTGGACTGAGACCCCAGGGAGCAAGGACGCCAGAGAAGCAGCCACCGCTCTGCAGGTGGGTGTTGTCTTAGTTACTGTTGTCACTGCCGAGACAAAATATCCGACACCCACAAGTGAAGGGAGGAAAGGTTTACTTAGCTCACAGCTGGTAGAGAGTGGTTTCAGTCCATAGTCGCAGGCTCCAAGTCAGGGTGGCAGAGGAAAAAATCCAAGGCGGCAGAACGTAGCAAAACAAGCAAGGGGGCAAGACAAGCCTCTTTCTGTCTCTTACATTGTGTCCGGGCTGCCGGAGTTAGGGCAGTGCCCGTCCAGCCCTTGGACTGGTTTAGTAATCACCCAGCCTTAGTGCTAGCACCCTTTCTCCTAGCTCTGCACCACGAATGAATCAGACGGTCTAGGTCCAGCCACCTCTGAAGAAGACCCCCCTATGACTGCATGGGCTTGGGGGACATTTAGACTCAAACCATAACAGGGTCTTAGCGGGCTCAATTTCACAGTGCCCCTCCCGCCTTCTAAAGCCGGGAATGGCGCGTGTCGGTGTGCAGGGGTGCACACTCGAGTGTGCGTCCGAGTCTCGAGGGTGGCGAGGAGTGCAGCTCTGCCTCGCAGAGGGTCAAGGGGAATTCACAGCGGAGCCGCGGGCTGGTTTGGAGCTTGGATGGTCACTTTGGGCCCAGCACCGTGACAGATACAAGTCCTTGAGGGCCTCCCGGCCACCTTAGCAGCAGGCAGGAGGGGACACGGAGGCTTGGGGCTGGCCACCTGCGAGGGTCATCCTCCCAGGGCCGGCCCCCAGCCCTGCTCTCGTCCCTGGGGAAGCACTAGAGCACTCTCCATCCCTCCCAGGGAAGCCCTCTTCTCAGGGGCCACCCTGACCTGGCTCCGCCCTCCCTGTGGGCTTCAGCCCAAAGGCTCAGCCCTCAGGCACCGTGATACCCCAGCACCACCTGGCATAGCCCAGTGTTTACAGCCAAGGGTAGCATGTCAGTGACTGCCAACTGTCCTCACCCAGCTGGTCGCTGGTGACTTCTGCTGCCCTGTCTTACGCTCTTTGTTCCTGCACCCTGAAAACCTTCTTGCCTCCAACCCCCACCCAGAGCTCAGCACCCAGGAGACACTTCGCCAGGGTGCGCTGGATTACGTCCTCTGTCATCTAACCCACTGCGCACAGGGTCCTCCTGCTCCGTGGCAGCACACCCGATTTATCGGAACGGTTCGTGTCCTTGTGTTTGGCACTTTGGGGTTTATAACCAAGGTGGAGGATAGAGCAAGGACAAGTCAGTGACAGGCAGCCATGGGACAGGAATCAAGAAAGCAGACAGAGCAAGCGTGGCTATGCCCGAGTATCAGAAAACCAACAGGTAATGGTCACTCTGTCCCCCAAAGCCCCAGGCAGGTGTAACCCTAAAAGTACAGGACCAGGGCCTGCGTCCGGCCTCACATTACCACCCTCAATGCCCACCCCCAGGCTTTGGATGCCGTGGCACTTCCTCTGAAAGTGTTGTGTGGTCAAAACCTGCCCCTCCAGGGGTGGGTGGAATCAGGCACCAGCTGGGCTGCAGCTCCTGTCCACCTGCAGCTACAGGCCCTCCCGTAATCCCAGGGCCTTAAGTGACCCAGTGCCGTCCCTGCTGGGCCACGAGCTCTTCTCCCCAGTGGCTCCCGCCCTGTGGAGTGCACCTTCTCGCCTTTCACTTACTCTTGTTGCTTCTTTTTATGACTCTTGCCCTCATTACTCTTTCTGAGTGTCCTGCTCAATTCTTTGGGACGCCAAGAACCTGGAAACAGCTCCTTGAGGACGCCCTGCCCACTCAATTACATAACCATGTCCAGAGTTTTACACTTCACAGCAGCCCAGCGTTGTAAACACGCAGCTGCACACTGGGAGATGCAGGGTGGGAGAGTCAGAGTCCCTGCTAGTGCCTGTGGACCTGTAGCAGTGCCGGTGAGCAGAGCTCCTTGAGGTCTGTGGAGAACACGGGGCGGCCAGACCTGCACCTTGCACCTCCCAGAGCTGTGCCGTATGGAGAACCGCAGAAGAGCTCCTCGACAGCCACTCACTACTTGCCTTGGACATCAGTGCTGACAGAAACTGGAGACACTGACAGAGCCTTAAAACCCAAAGGATACAGCACTGGGTCACAAGGACCCACCCCGTGTTTTTCTACTATAAATTTGTACTTTGGCATAATGTGGTAGTAGCCATATGTGCATCTCGTAGCTGCACCTGAGGAATACAGGAAGCAATCTTCATGTTTATCCACTTGGTGTGATGAACGGCAAGGTGTGCACATGTGTGCAGAAGTGTCAAACTGGGGTTTTTGACCCACATAATGATCCATCTAACAAGTTTTGCATATGTTTACCTGAGCATTACAGAGGGTAAAATACACCCACACCACTCTTCTGTTTTATTCAGTTTTCCCTCACTATATCTCAGTTCACTTATTGCAGCTTCACTGTATAGTGGGTTTTTTTAAAAAATGTAACTCTGTGTCACAGAATTTTTGCTGTATTGTGGGATTTTGTGGTATATAGGTATTTATATAATATTTATATTTTAATTATTTTTGCCTAAGAATTTTAAACAATATAAAAAATATTAATTGAAACATTTTAAGACAATATTAAATTGAAATAAAGTACAGTATGTATTTCATCAGCGGATGAATACCATACTGCCCACAATGGAAATGCAGTACACCACTACCTCTTGTGTAAGTTTGCCAACGTGAGATTGTACACAGCACGCGGTTGGCTGATGGAATGGAAGGCAACCAACCACAGCAGTGTGTTCTGTATCCTGGGTGCTGATTGGTTCAGTGACCGTAGCATCAGTCTGTTTGCTCTCCCGCACTGTGCCCATACGTTCAGCATCTCTCCTTGTCTATTTCATCTCGAGTACCCATATAGAAGTTTACATGTTGTTAAAATCACCTAGGTTTAATAGCGCAGAAAGTGTTTAAAGCATATGAAGGGTTTATAAGAGTGTAGGAGAGGTTAATAAGGGACTGGGAAAGGTTTGTAGGAGTGTGGGAAGGGTTTATAAAGCCTTAAAATATATATAAATAACAACATAAATATAGCACTGCTACTTTGTGGATTTTCACCTATTGTGGGGGGCAACAGGTGAGCGATCACTGTAAACATACGCTGTACCGTGAATGGAATGTGGGTGTGAGTCACCGTAGCTGCTCCATGGGAAAACAAAAACCCATCTGTGCATTCACCCACTTGGCAGGCGAATGGCAAGGTGTGTACAGGAAATCCAGAGCAGCAACAGGAGTTTTACCTGTGAAATGCTCATTGCTAAATTTCTGTGTATTTAGGATTTTTTTTAAGTTTTCTTTTGATTTTTCTGGGGGAGGTAGCCCAGTTCAGTACAGTGTTACATGCAAAATCAGATTTGCAAGTTTTGGGGGTTGAAAGTGGATCATCAGATCATTCGTGCATGGGTGCTGATAATGATAATGGCTTTGACCTTGGCCAAGTGAGCCGGAGTTCCTGGAACAGGGACATGGGGCAAGAATTGACCAATTACGACACAAGGAATGCAGACCTCCTTGACTCAGATGAGGAAGAAAACAGCACTGTGAGTACGTATTTGAGTAGGTGAAATGTTGTGAAATGACCACTCAGCCAAGTGATACAATCCAATGTTAGAACTGGGTGTGAAAATACAGTGAAAGGTATTGGACAGCATGCCAGCAGTGCCATTCAGTGTTGGAAATTGTAGCAGATGAAATGCTACATGATGTTACAAAATACACAAATGCTGAAAAGTTCTGTGTGCACCAATAGCCGTTCTCAAAAATGTATTTATTATGACACCTCACGAGCTGAACTGAAAGCATTCATGGGTCTGCTGTACTTAGCAGGGCTTTTTAATGGCATTTGCAGGAATGTGAAAGACTTACGGAAAGCAGTGGGTGTGGGCTTGGGGTTTGTAGAATAACAGTGACAATGGGGAGATTTGGTTGCCTTCAGAATTGCCCAAGGTTTGCTGACAAAAACACCCACAAAGAAAGAAAAAGAACTGATAATCTAGTTGCTATCCACTCATGGTTTGAGAGATTTCTGGGCAATTATCAAGCAGTTTACACTCCGTCTGAATACATGGCTGTTGATGAACATTTTGTAGCATTTCATAGTCACTGTAGCTTCAGGCAATATATTCCCCCCAAATCTTCAAAATATGGCATAAAATTTTATGCCCTCTTAGAGGCAAAGACTGAATGCTGTCAATTTAGAAATTTATCCCGGAACCCAGTCACCAGGTCCTTCTTTGTAGAGTAATAAACGAAGGGATGTTGTGAGCAGACGTGTCACTCCCCTCTCCCAAACTGATTGGAGTGAGACATTTGACAACTGGTTTACCAGCTTCCAGCTGATGTTACATTTGCTAACAGAGCGCAAGTTGACCAGCTCAGGAGCTGTACACAGGAATTAAGCAGAAATTCCAGATGAAATGGTACAACTTCAAAACAGAGAATCGTATAGTACAACCTTTGAATTTCAGAAAGATGTAACATTGGCCTTGTTTATGGCAAAGAGAAGCAAATTGGGCCTGCTGCTGTCAACATTGTGCCACGATGGAAATATCGGTAGGAAAAGCTCCACAAGACGGAAGCCTGAGGAGGAAACTTTCTACAGCAAAGGAGGAGGAGATGCTGGTGATAAGTTGGCAGCAACTATGATGTCACTCACAGCACAAAGCATTGGCCACTGGTTGTGTT